TTAGTGGCCGGCCCAGCCTCAACCTGTGACATTATGGAAGAAGTTTAGTGGTCCGAAAATCAGGAACACCCTGGGAATAAAGAGAATGGAAGAACCTCTTACACAAAAGAGCTGTCCTTTTGCACTCCATCTGTGACCTCAAGCCTGTCCTTGTGCAGTTCTAGTCATAGACAGGACATCTTGATACTTGGCCCCCTGGAACTATCACAGAGACATTTCAACCTTGCCTTAGAACAGGAGGAAGAAGAGATCTATGATGTCCAATCGCTACTTGCCTGCCTTGGTATAGTGAGTAAATCCCTTTCCTCTGACTGTGAAAACAACTTTGCCATAGACTAGTCCTACTAGTCCTGAACTGGCGCCAAGCAGTTCATTTCACTGCAGCTCCCCATAAGGGGCTATTAAACCTCATTGTCATTTGTATGTGATTCAGACACAGATTCAGATTCCTATTTTGTCTCCAATTGCATGAAGAGTGAGAATGAATTTTCTGCATATAAGTTTCCATTAGGCTGAAAAGAGGCTATAGGATCTGAACTAGATAGATCACTAATTTCTCCACTAATCTTGACCACACAAGACATGGAGAACAGCCTGCCATGTTTCCCCAAATGGCCTGCAGAACTTCTAGAATACACTTACACATGAATGTGCATACATGTATTGTTGTCCTCTGGTGAATACATATGGAAGGTGCTACAGACCACAGATTCCCCTCAACATCTTGTGCTCAATATGCCTTCTGAAGAGGGCAACACTTCTTCAGCCTCAGATGCTGTAGGTAGAGCTGACAGTCAGTCAGAATACATGTAATTGGATTTGTGAGTACTACAAGTTTGTAGAAATCGCTTAAAAAGCATCAGACGCAAATTTTCTAGGGTTGGACTCACTCCAGTCTGATTTTTTTTTTTTAATTTTCCCACTGTCTTTATACCGCCGTGTCTGTTTTATTCTTTTTCCCTTGTATTGTTTTTATATTGACTTTTTTATATCTTGAAAGAATGCACTGCTATTCTCTCTCTTCAACTAAAAAAAATAACAATAATGCTGCTCTAATGATGTAATAAAAAGTCTGAACTGTGTTGGTTGTTCTAGCGCAACTATTCTGCAGCACCTCCTGTCATATTATGGGACTCTTCAGTAACTATCAAATGTGGCTTCTCAGTCTTCAGTTGCTGGGTTGACTGGGAGAATCCTTAAATCCATACAGGAGTAGTATCTGCAGAAGTTATGCTATTCCAACCTTGACTGGAGAAATACAGTAAGTTCATGACTAGTTCACAGTGAGCCAACAGATGGGCACAGATTGGAATGGCTAGGGTCATTTCCTCTCTAGACACAAAGAAGGCATCTTTTTATGTAATGTCTTCATTAGGGTCTTGCTTAACAATGTCATTTCCATTTCCCTTCCTATGTGCTGGTGAGGTGGACAAGTGTATAGTTTATGAGTTTTCCTCTCAAGCTCAGCTTTGTGTTTTCACAGTCCTGCATCGGGATAGATACAGAGATACAGTCCTGAAGCTCTGCTCCTCCTCAAAGCAGAACTTTCCTTAAGCAGGTACTAGTCTGTCTGAAGGGAGACATAAGCTCTGCCATTCTGGTCATTCTCATGCACCTCTACCAGAGAGCATAGTTGATCCCAAGGACATTGTTACTCTTTTTTTTAAGGACTGAAATGATTTGTGGGACTGGTTCCCTTCCCTGATCATTCTTGACAAGAACTTGTGAAAGAGTTTCATCTCCCTTGTACCAGTTGTCTATTTGGAGTTGATTACTGCAGATTTGAATTTTCTTCAGAAACAATATCCAACCAGCCGTTCCCATTGATGTAGCTGGTTAGGGTGAGAAAAAGAGCAAGTATTTTTCAACAGCAAAGGGCTTCAGATTTTTTTGTCATGCTCTTCAATGTCTGTAAGGAGGTCAGAAGAGAACAAAACCCAGATTCTTTGTGCTCAGGATTTCAGACTATCACAACTTATGTCTTTCCTCTCAGGAATGGGCTTGTAAAAACCAGAACCTATTCATTTCCCTCTCCGGTTGCAGATCCAGCAGGATGGATTCTAGGAATCCTTATTGTTTCATTCTCTTGCAGTCCTATAGAGTTGCATAGCACCAAGGACTTGCTGTTCCTTGCATCAGCAAAAACATTTAGTAAGTTTCCCTCCTACATTATGGAGCAGACACAAGAACTGCATATGAAATAGAAAAGAATTTTGAGCCCTTTACTCTCAACCTCTTTACAGGTGACATGTCGTATTGCTTACCACATATTGTGCATTAACTGGAACTTGAGCTCCGGACCAAGCTAGCATACCAAGTGATAAACTCATGTTCATCTCCATTTGAGTAATAATCTCTCACACCATGATGGCATTCTTTTGGAAAAATTGGTAAATTTTTGTTGCCTTTATTATGTCTTTGTAGCTTTGCTGGGCTCCCAGCCACAGATAAAGCCTGCTGATGGCTTTGTAAATTTGTCTGATACCTTCTGTTGACAGAGAAGAGACAATGGGTGCTTGTGATCTGTCCAAGCTATTATTCCATCTCCTCCCCATGTTATTATACCTTTCCCTCCCCCAACCCATTCCCAATGTATGATGTCAGCCACATTTAAACACCACCAGTTATTTAGTTCTGCTTTCAAATCATGGCAAGGCTTTGGTTTTGTTCATGGAACAGGACATGTAGTGTGCTCTCTCTGGGTGCATTAAGTCTCCAAGTAGCATACAGACATCTCTTTTTCTTACAGAGAAAATCCCTCTGAATTACCCCAGAACCTTTCCAGAGTTTGAGACTAGTGGAATAAGGATGATGTAAACATCACACTTCAACTGGTTCAAGCTGATTCAAATGGACTCGCATGAGCTGGATGCTGTTTAGAATCTTTTTCTGGTGACCAACGAGGGTGATGCCAATATGCTGGATATCTCTGCAAGAGAACAGAAGATGTGGAAGGTGTTAAAAAGGGCTTCTTGTTCTGAACAGTCCCAGTCCATTCCCCTACAGATCCAAATCAATGTATATGGACACATGTGTATGTGCATCTTTGTCTGAGAAACAGTTGACAAGGCTCTTGCTTTTGCTTGGCAAATGTATGTGGGTGGAGGGGATGCTGGCAGAACTTAATAGGTTATGACACAGAAAGAAACAATGGAAATGGGCCATGAAAATGATCAAAGGGCTGGAACACCTCTCTTGAAGAAAGGCTGAAACAGTTGGGCTTGTTCAGCCTGGAGAAGAGAAGGTTCCAGAGACACCTTCCTGCAGCCTTTCAATATAAAAAGGGGGCTTACAAGAAAGATGGACAGAGACTTTTTAGCAGGGCCTGTACTGACAGGACAAGGGGCAATGGTTTTAAACTGAAAGAGAACACGTTTAAGTTAGAGATAAGGAAGGGCAGTGAGATACAGGAACAGGTTGCTAGGAGAAGTTGTGGATGCCTCATGCCTGGAAGCATTCAAAGTCAGGTTGGACAGGGCTTTCAGCAACCTGATCTACTGAAAGATGTTCCTGCTCATGGCAGTTGTTGGCAGGGGGGTTGGACTAGATGATCTTTAAAGGCCCCTTCTGATCCGAACCATTCTATGATTCTAAGAACAGGGGTTTTTTCCTGCCTACTGTCTTCTACATTACACTACCCAGTATATGGTATGGCTGATTCTACACATCTCCTTAAAAGAGGTTATTGCCTGTGGCAGCTGTCATGAACATTCTGATGTAACGGTCCTTCTCTGAAAATATGTTTTGTAATGTACAAGGGATCAGTATTAGTGTTTATAGAAACAGATTACAAATGTACAGTGGTATATGGGGTGTCCAGAGGCCCTAATAAGATACAGGAAACAGTAGCTACCTTGCTCTGGCTTCCCTCTTTTTCATGTGTAGGTATTCTCCATATAGCCCTTATTAAATATTTTTCAGACTGCTTTCACTTTTTGCATGGAAAACTCATTGTTTGGTATCTTTTGCTCTCTGCCCCTCTACTTACTCCAGAGTCATGCGTGATATGACATCAAATGTAATCAGCCCAGCCTGGTCAAAATTCTCCTTGTAACAGCCCATTTTGATAGCATCCAGCCACTCATGGGCATTGCTGAGTGAAGGGAAATCTGGAGGACAGTTGCTCAGGAGAGGCTGAGATGGTCTGCAAAAGAGGCAGGTTCTAAAAACACAAATTATAAACATCAGCTGACCACACTAGTAAGCTAAGAGTTATGAGAGGGGGAGAACGCAACCTCTGAAGAATACAGAATGGAGAAAAATTATATTTGTTCTTCATGCCCTGATTCCTAAAGTCCCGCCTTGATGCCCTGTTTCTAGACTACCTATGTTCCCTTTTCTGCCTGAAAACAACCCAACCCAAGAAATTGATCCTTCCTTCCCATTTTGTACTGTCTCAGGCACATTATCTTGTCCCAGAAATTTCCGCACTTTCTGGGTCTAGACCTATTAGCTGGGCAAAGAGTTGCAGTGAGGAGGTTTCTGAGGCAGAGATGAGACCTTATACCTTTTTGCATTTGTGACTAGCTCTCCCTCTCCTAGATGCAGTCCTTGGATCAGAAAGTAACCTATGAGACAATGCGTGTGTTGTTTCAGCTCAAACATCCATCAGGTAAAAGCATAGCAGTAAAAGGCCAAAGAAATTACTGCATATATATGGCATTTGGTCTTTTCCTCATCATCTGAATGTATCCCAAACCTACAACTCTCTTTATGGGCTGTTTTTAGTAAACTGGGTATGACTAGGAACTTTTCCTTTCCCCCAGCTGTGACTGAGACAAGGTCTATAACCATGGAGAAAAACCCTCCAGGCCAGCTGGATGTCATTCTGTCATCAGCCCAACAGCCGTCTAATCTTTGTGCCATTTACCTTCTTTGCTGACCTCCTGCCTCTGATTCCATCAGGCTGCAAAATCCAGTTGGGAAAGCAGGGGATGCAAGCTGCAGTTCTAATTAGCTTAGATACAGATGTCCTTCCCTCCATAAGCTAAGGTCTTCTCTTCCTTCATCATTGCTCGTGATCACACAGTATTGTTTGACCACATAATATTTTGTGTAGCTGCAACCAGATGAGTCCTTCCCTTCATTCTCTAAGATCCCTCACTTGTTCATCCTCAGTGCACTTCATCAAGAGATTTATCTCCCCTCACATTCAGCACTTGCAACCCCTTATCACCCATTAAGTGAATTAGGATACACAGTTCTTCCAACTCTTTCCTTCATTTTTTTTTTCCTTCTTATTTGTCCCCAGTCTCAGATGAGAGGGTTGGAAAAAATACTACGTAGACTGATTTACAGATTTCTTTTCCTCATGATGCCTACCGAGAGACAAACCCTATTAATTTTGCAATAAATTCTCATCTCACCTGCTGCTCCCAATGCCAGTGGCTTTGAGGGCAGATGGCTTGCGGATCATCTTATCTAGGGCACTGACTATTTGCTCAAACTTGGGTCTCTGGACCCGCTCCTTCTGCCAGCAGTCAAGCATCAGCAAGTGCAAAACAGTTGGGCAGTCTGGGGGTGGTGGCAGGCGGTAGTCCTGGTCAATGGCATTAACTACCTGCAGGAAAAGAAGAATAAAGCTTTATTACGGCCAGGAAAATAAAAGACAAACAAACTTCAATCACTTAGTGGTGTATGACTTTCTTCTACTTGAATTGATACAGGACAGAGAGGCAGATGTACATTCTCACCACTTATAAAACTTACATCCTGATTGGACATGTCCCAGTAAGGCCTCTCGCCATAGGACATCACCTCCCACATGACAATGCCATAGCTCCAGACATCACTGGAGGAGGTGAACTTGCGATACTGGACAGCTTCAGGGGCAGTCCAACGGATGGGGATTTTGCAGCCCTAGAAAGCAGTCAGAGAGCAACCAGAATGTTAGTGAGATAAGGGCTAGTTGTGAAAATGACATCACTGAACTGATCAAATGCTAGTAGTACGTCAGAACTCTGAGCTTGGCGTGCCAGTCCAGTTGATGCTGCCTTGTAAACATTGTTGGTTTAAACTCAAACTATGTCTGAGGTTTCCACCTTGTGCTATTGACAAACATAGATGAAAAACCAGTATTATGCCTCCTTACTGCTACAAATCCCATGATGTAACAGATTTTAACTTTTATAGCTCTTCTTTGCAGCATTTGAGAGGTGGCAGATAGTAAAATCCTCCTGAAACTCATCTTCATTTGGAAATCTAAAGCCATTTAAACAATCCCAGCCTGCAACACCAAGGATAGATACAGGGAGTGGCTAGCATTAACTCCTTCTTCTTTCCATCTTGACCTCTTTGACTGCAGATATGATCTGTCAGACAAAATATCATTCAGGTGCTGGTTCTTCAAAACACATACATCTAAAAGTTGTTTCACTTTTTAGTGACTGAATTCTTCTTCATCCCCTGCACACCAAATGGCAGTTTCAACCTGCCTGTTATACTCCCACCCCTTTTGTAGTATGTATAATAGGTGTCAGAACTTCATAGGCAGCAAGTTCATTTGATAGTTGATTGTAAGCACATAAATATACTTATGCCAGTTATCTTTTCTGTAGAAAAACACAACTCTTTCCTCAAAGGGTGGTTGTACAAGACTTCATTCTCTCCTTCAGTCCTTTGTGCTTCCTATAAGAAGCTGATGAAAGGGGAAGGGTAACAGCGACATCAGGTTATGAGGTTTGTCCTATTCACCATCATTCCACAAAGGATGTCACTGAGACTCCATTTCACATGGCAGAGTGGGTCAGATACTAAGTTATTTTTGGTTTTGACTGGTATGGAACAGGTAGCCCACAAGATAGAAGGCTCTATCCCACTGGTCTCAAGATGGACTAAAAAGGGCACACCAAATCAAGGAGGAACACAGGAAAAAATCATAGCTGGCAGCACTGCAGTAATGCACTCCATAGCGGCAACTCACCAGAGCTCCAGTATAGGTAGGATTTGAAGCATCATCCTCCAGAAAGCGGGACAAACCAAAGTCTGACACCTTGCACACAAGGTTACTGTTGACTAAAATGTTACGTGCTGCCAGGTCACGATGCACATAGTTCATGTCTGAGAGGTAGCGCATGCCAGCTGCAATCCCCCGTAGCATTCCCACCAGCTGTAACACACTGAACTGTCCCTCCTTCTGCTGCAAGTGAGGAGGCAAACATAGCCTTTTATGACCACAGGACATGAAGCCAACAGGGAAGACTAACAAAGAGCAAGGTAAAAAGGTGGATTTATGGAGTTAGAGAACACACATCTTAACTTCAGCCAAAATCTGAATGTTCAGGGACAGCAAATAAGAAAGGAAGTTAGGCTTTAAGCAATGAATCTCAAATGAAGTCAGACATCGTTGATCTTTTTCTGAAGACAAATCTCATCTTGTGGCCATATCTTCCTACACCTAGTCTCATTAACTACTAAGACTGCTAAATGAACAGGAGCACACAAATCTGGTCTTACTGTTTTAAGATCTTTACAATAGATTCTATGCAATTCTACACAAAGAGTTCATGTGCTCTTCAAAAGGTACCTGCCAAAGCATTGTGGTTGAATTAGCATGTGAATCAGTAAAAAAAAAGTGAAGCATCTATACTACAAAAATGTCTGTATTTATGTTTCATTACTAGAAAAAACACTGGAAACTCTGAGTCAAAAAATAACTACAAGTTTCATCACTTCATTATCATGCTGAAATTGGATAAAATCTGAAAAACATTATTAGAAAAGCAAACTTCAGAGCATACACATAAAGAACTGGAAGGCTGTGTACAAAGTTAAAGAACTTAGTACTGTTTACCATTAATTATTTGAGCTGGCGATGTCTAAAATAATGAAGAAATTTTATATGATGGGTGAGTTTTTGAAATATTTTCACTGTGTTGGCCCAAACCCACTTATTCTGGAAATTTGATATTGTTTCTATTGCACCTGAAAAGGGCAACTGAGGACTTATAGACAGGAATGAAGAGGAAGGACAGGTAAAATTATCAGATCTGAGACTGGCACACAGCAAGATGAAGAGGTAACAGTTGTGAGAGACTCTGGTTGTGGTACCCTGAGGAAAGAATCCAGTGATCCATTCTCCATGAACTCTGTGACGATCATTACTGGCCGGCTTTTGGTGACCACACCCTCCAGATGGATGACATTGGGATGCTCAAATTGACCCATGATGCTGGCCTCACTCAGGAACTCCCGCCGCTGTTCATCTGTGTAACCTGACTTCAGGGTCTTAATAGCTACTGTGTATTCACGCTTCCCTGGGTGTTTTAGGCGACCAAAGCACACCTCTCCAAACTCTCCTATCAGGGAGGGAAGAAACACACCTCAAATAAGGAAACACAGCAAAGAATTTTTGTCAGGTGCACTAAAACATTCTACTGTGGAAGACTCCAGGCGCTGCTTGGAAACAGGGTTACTAGGACTGTTTGGATTAAGGTAAAGTTCTTAATGAAGGCTCAGCTTAGAGTTTGGGTTCAAATAAGGAGCTCTGAGTCTTCAAAGGGTTTTTTAAACTTGGTTTGGAGCCAGCATCTAAGGGTAAGTAGGTTAAGATGAATTTTGGTAAAAATGACGGTTAGCTATCCTGAGACACTTGAAGTACCATGGTTGGGTCCATTTCAGGACAGTAGTGTGCCAGGTCTCAAGCTGAACAAGAAGGCACTTAAAAATCTGCAGATTCCCACACTACCTGATCCAATGACCTCCTCAATCTTGATGAAGGACACATCAATCTCCTTGGCAAATTCTCGAATAGCTTCATTGGGATCTTCATAGGTTGAAGGATCAATGTAATACTTCACTCCAAGTCCTGCAGTGGAGGAGACAGCCCAAAACATCACCAGAATCAAACCCTGAGAGATATGGGTGTTAATGAGTCCTGAAAAGAGACAGGCCCTTGCCATCTGTTGCTCAAGAACTCTTACCTCGTGCACTGATATACTGCTGGAGGCGGTCTGTATACGGAGTGTCTCGCCTTTTACTGCAGGGCATAAAGGAAAGGTAAGTCAAAACATGAGTTGGGTCCTATGAGTCTCTCATAGGATGTTGGGGTAGGCTTCTCAATGCAAGACTCGGACAATCCTTGAACTTAGGGATAGAAGATGGGTGTTAAGATCCTGCCCATCTCTTGGCAAGTAGTGCATGCTTGTTTTCTGTGTCGTAGTTTTTACACCACTGTTTGCATCCCCATTTCAGATATGACAAATGACAAAAAAAATACTACAGTTTAGCATTACTGTCTTGGAAGTTTTCTTGCTATTTGGGTTAAATTTGCATTTTAATTTCATTTAATTACGACAAATTATTCTTTTCAATACTAATCTAAGCCATCTCCTGTGATGCCTTCTAAATTCTTCGAAACATTCTAAGAGCCATTTACTCTAATGCTTAATTTGTATGAATTTCCCCCAGAGATGAATTCTTCTTTATTTTTCCTCCTGATTTCTTAGCAGCATTTACTTTAAGCATTCTCTTCATAAATATGGTACCCAAAACCAACCACATAGAAACAGAAGGCCAGAAATCTGTTCTATGATGTGATTTTTGCATGTGCAGATCAAAACAGGTATGGTCTTTATTATTGTAATATTTATTGCATACATGCATCCAATTTCCAGTAAGCATAGGTCCTTCTCAGCATAGGTGTTTCTCAAATTTCATTCTCCTCTTAAATATGTGTGATTCAAGCAATTTTTTTCTCGTGATCTAGTTGTTTTGTAAGTTTCATCCTGTTCTTGGTTTGCTCTAAACATATTTTCTGTTTTCAAGTAACTTCCTTTGTTCCCAACAGTGTTCAAATTTTTTTTCAAAAAATGTACAGCTTGTGCTAGTTTACAATCTTTTCTAAGTCTAATTAGACTGGATTGTAAATCAGATGTTGTAGTATCCTGTAGTATCCCTGCTGTATGCATGGATTTGTGTCAACTCATATGCTTTGCTGTTTCAGCACAAGACATTCTAGCTACTGATTCAATTAGCGTCTGAAGACAAAGTATCATGAAACATTATGTTACTTTTCTTTACTGACATAACTAATTCTGTCATTCTAACAGGTAACTTAGTGTATTATTCTTAGTTGTCAGGCTTATCTCTTTGTATTCTGCTAAGATTGCAAAAGCATACATAGTTCAAAACCTGTTCTGTTGTAGAAAGGAATTGGCTTTACTGGGGGCCTATACCTAAGAGCTGTAACTCTGCTGTTGCATCTAAAAGTCAGGTCTACATTCACGGTTTTTTATAGGTTATCTGACATACTAATGGTTTTCCATCATTAAAAAACCAACAATCAGCTAAAATAGGTGTTGCAGATTGTATATTGCCTGGAAAATGTGTATCAACGATTTACAAAAACAAGTTAAAATTATAGCATTTGACTAAGTATATTCAACCTTTTAAAGAACTACTCATTTCATGTGGTGTTCCTCATTTCCTACATCTTCAAACTTACTTTTCTTATCAAGGACAAACTTAAAATAGAAATTTGGTATCTCCACTTTTTCTGAACAACTGTCTATTAATTGCACATGATCCTTCAAGTATAAACTAATCTATTTTTTATGATATTTCCTTTTATGTAGATACATTTACAGAAATACACTAATGTCTTTCCCCAACTCAGTTTTGGTAATATTAATTTATTCTGGGCTTGACTTTTTCTTTTAGAAAAATATATGCTGCATTGAGTTTTGCACATAATATCACATTTCCAGCTGTAACAAGAAATTATATTTTTAACATTTCAAAGCTACAAAGGGAGGCAACAATGCAAATATAACAATACTTGACAATACTTTTCTTTCCAGAAAGAAAAATATTGAAACTGAAGGAGAAAACAAATGTAGAAAAGGGAAGTGGAAAAAAAAGAAATAACAAAAACTAGATGTTACTTTCTAAAGTTAAGTAGTTTATACACTTTTTCGGGTCAGCAAAAAAAGCTAAAAAGTCCCTCTTGTGCAGAGGCAGAGTAAAGCAAAGGTACAGAAACCCATTACTGACGATCTAGGGGATTAAGTTCAAACCTCAGTAAATTCAAGGAGCAGCTAATGACTGTTTCTTCAAATAACAAAAACCCCATTGTTTACTTTTGTAACTCTGTGAAAGTAGTGACCTTTACTTTTCACTCTTTCTCTTTAAAATTTCTGTCCTTTTTTTGCCATAACAGATTATCTCTACATTGACTTATCTGCCCTTTTTTCTTTCCAAAATGGGAAGTGGTATTTGCCTTCTTTAACCTATATTTTATGAGTTAGCATTCCATGGAACCACCGGGCTTGTACAGATTATTCTTCAGCAGATGAGCTATTGTCTGTTGGTCCTTGGTTAAAGGGTATTTAGCACCTTCTAAATAAGTGGATCTAAATACTTATTGCACCAGTCCTTCTTCACTACATTGTTTCATTCTCCACTTGCTTGCCTAAAATGCAATTCACAGTCCCTTCTTTAGAGTGATGCATTTAAATACCTTTTGAGCACCAGATTTAAAATGCTTCCCTTGTGTTCATATTGCTAACTAGCCAAATATCAGCTAAGTACATGAGCGGTTTACCAAAGGAGAGGCTCCTCAGATAGGAGTACTGGGGCAGGATCCTTCCTTAATTAGAAAATGGTATCTCAAGGACATCTGAATAAATGTAGATCAGGCTGTTTCCCTTAGGACAGGGTTATGTAGCAGGAGTAAGAAAGTTCCACTGTCTGCAGTGCACATGAGCAGGTCAAGGAATTCACCTCTTGAAGATGATGGCAAGGATGGCAATGGCAGCAATTACCAAGAAGGCTAGACCACCAAGCGCTGAGCCCACGATGAGCGGCAGTCGGTCTTGAACCATCTCCGAGTGCTCCCCTAGCAAGGAAGACACATGCATACACACACACAAATGCAGAGGATGGGAACTGTTAGAGTTTCCCTTCTATTCAACTAGGTCTCACCCATAATTTCATCCCTACAGCCTTTTGCTTTCCAGGCTAGTGCTGGCAGTTTAACAGATGCTTGGCTTGGTTATCCCTTTACCCCTTCAGTCACTGTGCTTCTCCAGTGCCTTCCTGCCTACTTCTGACAAGCCAGTGCTTCCTCTGAATCCACTTTTCCTTCTCCTGATCCACTGACGCCTGGCTAGCCATTTAAGTATAGTCTAGCTCTACACCTTGACCCCATTGTCCTGTATTAATTTAGCTTGTAGATGACATTTATGAGTAACTTTGATCCAGACCAAACAGTATCACAAGGTAGTATGTTGCTCTCTGCATGAATAGACAGTGATACTTTTGAAAGGCAAGCTTCTGGGTATATGTCCTGTGTCCCACCTGTCTTTAAGACTTTTACAGAGCATCCAGCTGCAAGACATCCTGTGACATCTGCAGACCAAACTACAGCAGTGAATAGTGTTATGTACTGTAACATCCTCCTAAAGAGACTTCTGTTGACACACTCTGCCTCCGCTGGTCAGAGACGCAGAGGCAATAAGGAGTAGGACCGGGAAATACAGCAGTAGCGTAACCAATATGCTCTGACAGCATGAAGCTTCTTTGAGTGAACAAATCTGCATATGCAAATTATGATATACAGAAATACAAGTTGAGTAGGAGTGTCTGGTAGCAGTTTTCCAGAGGATAAGCTAATACACTCAGGGACACACACAAATGAAAGATTGTCATGTGCAGATCTGAGTACAAAATCGTAACACTTACCTCCCATTAAAGTCTGGAAATACATCTTTCCACTATATGGGCCATAGCCCACTGCTGTTCTAGCTCGTACTTGGAAGGCATAGATCTTGCCTGGGCTCAGATTTGATATGGTGGCCATGTTGGTTTCACTAGTCAAGGTAAAAGAATTATCCTCATCTTCTGCCTGTGAATGTCAGTGACCAAAAAGTAACGTGAGACTTCTGCCCACACTGCTCACCCTCTTCATCAAGGAGACTTTCCATGTCAGTCCAATATTCTTTGAATCTGTTACAGAGCCTTCCAACCACAACTACTATTCCAGACCTGACTTCCTCGCACACTAGCCATTGTTCCTCACTGCTGCTTTTCATTCCCTTAGGGCTGAGCTTCCCATAAAGCTTTGCCAAAGACTCTCACTCCTTTCCTAAACAAGAGAGAAAAAACTACCTTGTTCTGTGCTTCCTTGCTAAGCATATCCATAAAAAAAGCCCTAGCCTGTCCTGAAATTTTGCTTTCTACAAGCTCCAAATTCATGTATTCTCCTAGGAGAATCTAGAGCAAGAAGACATGTAATGCTGTAACCAGGAAGCTGCCAAACATGTTATTACAAATTGCAGGCCCTTTAACTGCTAGAAAAACAGTAGCTCTGCACAATCCCGCAAAAATATTTATGTGAAAGACCAAGAATATGGAATAGGATCTTGTCTGAACATACCTCTTCCCTTCAAATCAGTTGGACTAGGAGTCATGAAAGATGCTAATGGAGAACAACTTTGCATTTGCCACCTATAATTCCAGCACATAAATGGGTAATTGATATCCACCACTTAATCAATGAAAGAGTGCATTCCTCCTCCCAGAAGTTTTTAGAGATGTCTGTCCAGGCATAAATGGGGACACAGGACTTCCCTCCACAAACACATGACAGAATTTCCAGTGAGTCCAATTCCAATATACACATTTGGAAACTTCAGCTTCTTCCACTGTTACCTAGTGCTAAACTCATTAGGTTGTTAGCCATCAATTTTTATCTTAGTATCGTCTCTTTTTTTATTTGCATTGTCCCTAGATAGTTCAAAGTTGGGAAATGCAGATGGACTGATGTTAGATGAAGAATATATTGTGAATTTCCGGTCTTGCTACAGCTTGTTCTACCCTCATAATTGAAGCATTTTTCTCCTCCTTATCCATCCTGATCCAGGGAGGCATCTTCCAGACAGAAAACTGCCCTGTTTTCTTCTGCATAACAGCTATATAACAATTAGCACTGCATCGCTTTCTGCTCACCTTGTCAAAGTAGCGTAGCTGGTAATCCAGGATGATCCCATTAGGCTGGTCTGGCTGAGGCCATGACAGTGTGATGCTACTGGTAGTACGACTCACCTGATGCATCATAGGGACAGCAGAGGGGACTGGAACAGAAGAGAGGAAGGAGAGATTGCAAAGGGATAAGCTTAACAATGAACTATAATTGGATATTCATTATGATGACTTAATAAGTTAGGTCAGTTCTTCCTTTAATTTCCCTGAATTTGCATTATGAAGTACTAAAATAACCAGAAGAAATTCACACACAATTCTACTCTGCCGGCAGATACAGTCACTGACAACTTGCACAGAAAGAAAATGAAGAAATCCACATCCAACAGATCACGCACAGGAATTGTGAAATGATCTATATTGAGCTAGAACATTAGTCTGATCTTCAAATTCACAATTTTTACGTGCAAGATGAAAAAGTATTCAGTGCCACTGCCTTGTTCAAGCACCACATTTGGCCAAACAATGTGATAGTGGTCAGAACAAAAGCAGAGCACACTACCTCTTTTCTGCTTCTCCCCCAGATTATAATTCTTTGCCTGGGGAAAAAAATCAAGTATGGGCTACCAAAGTAATGGAGGCCTTTCACTACCAGATCACAGATGCAAATCAGAAGATGGAGGCAGATGAGAACACTGATATGTCAAGGAACTGACTTTGAAGCATTCCTCAGTTCAGTGGTCCCAGTTCAGTTGCAGATCATAGAGAATAAAAGCATCTCATTTTCATAGCCTGATATGCAGCCCTGAGTTCAGACTAGCTCCTGGATCTCAGGCCAATCCCTGTCAGGACTGTTGCCCAGATGGCAAAACTACCACTGTATTTGGGACTCTCAGTCCTTCTGTGGGCCATAGAAGTCCAGTCTGAATGGGCTTCTAACTAGCACTACTGTCTGGAACCATCACCTAAAGTTCACTGTTAAGTGGGCATGTGTGGAAGTTTCACATTCAGTTTTTCTGTGTGTTCTTAAATAGCTTGTTAAGTTTCATGTCTCGTGGTAAACAGGCCAGCCTGGGTATATTACACAGATGGAACTGTTGGCTCTCTTGATTCCATTATGATATTAATTGCTTAACAGTCTTATAGTCTGTGTCATATATTAATCACTGTGGCAAAATGTCAGCTTCCCTTTACGTAGAAAGCAAGGATCTGGTCATCAAACATAAAGGAGGGCTTTGGAAGCATGAATCTAAACCAGAAAGCAAGCAAGAATGTCTACCGATTTTAGAAATCTTTTGATCAGCTATTGTAAAAGTCTGAAGTTCATTTCAAGACTTTGAGACTTGTGTAATCGCCATTACTTCTCACTAACCTGATAGTCATTAAATCAGGTCCACAAAGCTCTTCTTAAGTTTTGCTTTCTCCCTGCAAGCAAAATGTCATGTTGCCAGGAAACCTCCAGGTAGGCAGCTAGGGAACCCTTATTTTCCTGATGGAAGTAACCTTTTTGGCAACATTTAACTTTTTCAGAAGAAGCATTCCATTGAAAAGCTGCCACCTAACTCCATTATTATGTCTATTTTACACAATAGATATAAACTTCCTTGATATGAGGAAGGAAACAGAGACATTTGGCAAATGATCAAAAATTGCAGAATAGCATTTTCTCCCCTCATTAATTGTGAAAAAGATAAAACGATGGCTTTTAATAACAAGATAAAATTATTCAGAAAGATGTAATTCAAAGGGGCTCCAAACAGCTCAGGCAAGTGGGAACCAGTTAAAAATGTAAATGAAACAAAAATGTAAGAGTATAAAAAATAAAATGCTTTCTCTCATCCTTACTCTTTTTATTTCTTACAATTGCTTGTCTTTCAAGCATGATTGCACAATTATTTCACCTGCTAATGACAATGTTGTGACAAGGATGGAAGACAGTAGCAATTAACCAAGACCATATTTAGAATTTAAGACACAAAATAATAACACTGTATTCAAATGATACTGTGAGGAGAATGGGATAACTGGTCAGTTAATATTTGATCAAGACAGACTCCACTACCTTTTAATGTTGTGAAAAGTTTAACTTCTTTCTGATGGGGCATAAAGCACACACAGGGAGAGGCACAAACCTAAATACACAGCTACACTGCCAGGGAAGAACCCATGTCCTTCCTGTTTGGAATTAAGATTTTGCAGAATGATTGGAGCTAAATATCCCCTCCATTCCTGCCCTCCCACCTCTTTTCATTCCTTTCCTTCCTGCCCCTAACAGTTACTGTTCCTACCCTTCTAATTTCTTCCCAATCCACAACTATTACCCTACCTGGAAGGAATACTCAAGTCAACTAGAACATTTGGCCTGTATTTTAATTAAAACATATCCATTCTGATGTTAATACGTACTATCAATTTTCAGCTACCCATCAACAGGTTATCTTTTGCCAATGGTAGGTACATGAGCTGGCACTGTGCATAGTATGTTTAGGCAGAGCAAAATCTGCACCAGAACAATGATGATAAATGGTACTCTACTCAGAATGGCTGCATGCAGAAGCAGCTTACAGCTAGTGGAATCAGAAATACTGGGAAACCTAAGAAAAAAAAAATCACTGGAGTGACTTTACTCAGAGTTACATTGTGTGTATCTCTTGACCATGTGCCACAGCATCCTAGAATGTCCCTATTATCCAGGTATGTCCATCACTCAGGGTAATCAGGTGGTGGTGGTGGGGATGCCCAGGATAATGCAGTCTGCTGTATTAAAAATAGTCATTTCGGTGTATGTAACTAATGAGCAGACACTACTTAAGGCAAAAGCCTAAACCAGTAAAAATGCTCAGTAATAAAAATAGCTACAAATCAACACAAGACAGGTTGTCTTTAATCTACCTCTCTGAGACAGAGTTCAGATTTTGATACATGTGTTTGCCTCTCTTTCAAGGACAAAACTCATGAAACACTGGCCAGAGAGCTCTCCCACCACTTCAAGTAAAAGAGATATCTAGATTTCTCCTTTGGAAAATTTCATACTAAGGTGATGGGAATATTAATACTAAGGTGATGTGAAATGTGAACATATTTGTGGGTGGATAAGTACAGAAGTGTCAGAAGTGTATGAAAAAGTTACTCACCCAGTGCTAATAAATCAGCAAAGACAAAGTTCAAGGTTTCATGTCTTAAGCCAACACCCAAACTACCCTAACTCTGCTGCCACAGAAGTGCTAGATAAGAATTTTCTTTTGTATGCATGCCAACTATTAAAAATGTTGCTTTCTGTAGGAGTAAGTCAACAAGGAGAGAAGGGATGGAAAGAGTTAACAGGGTTCAGGCAGCTCCTGCCCTGAGCCTTGAACAAGAGTACAGGAATATAACAGGGAAGTAAACAGGTACAGACTGTTAAGACATGAGAATGCAAGCCTGCAGGATAGCAGTCAATGGGGTTAGCAGTAGTGGCACGTGAACAATGCTTGTAAACCAATCACAGCTAACTTAGTGGCGCATGTACTAGTAGAGAAAAGTATATAATGATGCTGTAGCAAACAATAAAGGTCTTCGGTTCACCTTCAATCGGAGTCTGTGATCTCAATCTCCACAGCTTTCAAAGCTTGTTTCATGTACACAAGTGTCCAGTTCCATGTCGATTTGTCACTTCTATCCATTTTGCTCTTTTCACATTGGGTTTACAAATGGAGACATGCTAGCTGAAATCACAGGGCCTGATTCAACAAATCCGGGCAGTTGGACTAGATGATTCTTGTAGGCTCCTTCCAACTGAACTATTCTATTCTATTCTATTCTATTTCTATTCTAGTCTATTCTATTTCTATTCTATTTCTATTCTAGTCTATTCTATTTCTATTCTATTTCTATTCTATTCTATTCTATTCTATTCTATTCTATTCTATTCTATTCTATTCTATTTCTATTCTATTCTATTTCTATTTCTATTCTATTCTATTCTATTCCATTCCATTCGAACTACTCACTGGGTGCAAACAATGAATATTGTGAGATCAGACATCTAAGGAAGACTGAAAAAAGGACTGTTTCTTGTGTACTATTTATAAAGTAGCAAATGTACGGAAAACTCTTGCACATACAAAGCCTAATCAAAGCTGTAAAGTAAAGCAGTTCAAACATCAGATATACAGCTCCTAGACTCTATTTTTTATGGGCTGTCAGTTGCAACTCTTCTACATGGCAGGACAAACTTTTTCCTGATAGCACACAGGGGTGGATTTAAGATATTTTGAGTACCTTAAAAATGCTACATTCTCTGAGCTATTTTGACAAGTTTCTGCTGTTTTCTAATAAAGCTGACGTCCTTGACTATAGTTATCTGCTGAGACCAGCAATATGTGACTGCAAGCCTAAAAATCTACCTAAATCAACAGATGAGATAAGGAAGGAATGTGAATGAAGTGCAGACTAGTATAACAGTACATGGCGATCCCCACTTACGCAGAGCACAGCCAAGTGCCATTCTCAGCAGACCGTGAACATCTCTGGCATGTGGCATTCAGTCCATATTCCGTGCAGATACTCATGATAGGCAGCTGAATCCCATCCCCAGTCAATACAGTCAGTGGAACCTAATGAGTAATTTGGCTCACTCCAAAGCAAAGACCCAAGGAGCAATTCAGTTGCCCATCATTTGAGAAGACCCTGGTATCCATTCTCTCTGCCACCCAGACTGCATTCCAGTAGGTGCCTGTTCTTCTACTGTTCCTATGTCACATCTGCTGGCCCTGAGTAGAGAGATGTCTCAGATGGCCTTAGATGCTTACATGTGAAAAACTGAATGGAGGTGAGAGATGACAGCTGAATGTAGCCTCACATTCAGAGGCGCTGATCTTCAAGGTGGACATTGTGCATACTCTGAGTAAAGTCACTCCAGTGATTTTTTTTTTCTTAGGTTTCCCAGTATTTCTGATTCCACTAGCTGTAAGCTGCTTCTGCATGCAGCCATTCTGAGTAGAGTACCATTTATCATCATTGTTCTGGTGCAGACTTTGCTGTGCCTAAACATACTATGCACTATGCCAGCAATATCTGCTGGAGGAGCAACACAGCAGGGCATAAGCAATCCAGGAAGTTCCCGTAAAACATCAGTGACTACTTCCTGACCCAAACAACAGAGGAAGCAATG